CTTTGTCATTCATGTGTAAGAAAAGACTCTGGAATTCGTTGTGAGCTGTAAATCTGCTCGAGTTCTCCTTTCAGTGCCCAGTCTGAACATAAATATTATAGCAATGACAGGAATGAGGTGCTTGTGACTGACTGGGTTACTTGTCCTCTGGAGCATTCCCAGTAAGAAACTACTGTGGGTTGTTTACTGTGAGACTGGTCTGCCAAGAGAGCAGGCACACCTTGGTAAACACAACTAATACCAGTGGCGTGCATTGTGGAAGTCTGGAAGCCAGCTGGAAATATTCAGTGATAAACTCAGCAACTCATATTTTTCCTTCTCTCACTGCACTCACCCTCTTGAATTTTTTGACCCAGAGGAGAAAGCCATCTGTGTCTGCAGAAATCCCGCTGACAAGCCCATCACCCCCTCACAGCCTCACAAACTGACAAAGCATCTGTCGTCTTTTTTCCTGCTTACAGAAGGATAAGACACGGGCCTGTATTGTACCTCTACGCCTGATTTCCTCTTCTCTGTGTTATCTGTGATGTTGAGCAGGTCTCCAAAGCGCTCGTTGGTGATGAACTGGTGGTGCGTCGGGACAATGCCTGTGTGTCGCCTCGATGCCGTGTCAGCCTCTTCCTGTTCCCGCTTCAGCCGCCGCTGCTCCTCCAAGATTTTCTGCCAGGAAACCACACTGAACTGTTTGTCCCTCCAGATAAGGGTCTCTTCTACTCTTTTATTCATGTGACACATTCTTGTATAATATATGATTTCCTCATTCATAACACAGCTCTCTTTACAAAAGCATTGTCAGTGAGGTGTGTCTATAAAGGTTTGAAATTCACCTCTTTGTCCCCATGACGCCTCCGCAACACTTCATCCTGGCTCTCCCCATGTGCTGGGGATGAGTCTGAAACAGAAACAGAAAGAGTATAACGCTGTGGAAGCATTTTCACTGTCAACCACAGGACGAATCCAATTCAAGAACAAAATCTTTTCAAATATAAGATGATGATATTGCAGTCAACTCCTTAATTCCAATGAATAGAATCATAAAAATGTACAATAAATACAACCATGCATGCTTTAAATGAACATCATAATCTCTGCAACACTAAAAACAAAAAGCAAGCACACATCCAAAAAGCCAAATGTATTCCTGCATGCACATAGGAATGAACACAGAATGATCCAATGTGTGTTCAAGACAAAAACAAAGAAAAAAATATGAAACCTACTGTATCTCGGCCAAAAAAATAAAATAAACATCACATCATGGTTTTACTGATCGACCAACAAGCATCCATCAGTTTACTGAAGTTTCACCTTTATTATATTAGCTAGATATCTTTCGTGACATAAGTGTTCTCCCCGCACCACCATAGAGGTTTCATTCTGTGTCCCAGCAAGGGCCACAAGAAACAACTATCAATGTTTCAGGTTTGTGTCTGATGCCCTGAAGTACCGGCTGTTACATAAGAAATTAAAAGCAGGGAACATCCTGTTTGGCTAAAAACAAACCTTTCATAGTGAGAGAATGAAAGATGGTAGATGTAAATTGTTCCCAAAACAGAAAAAAAACAAAACAGATACGGACATGGTGAGACATCAATTTGAGAGAACGTATGCAATGTTATATCAAATTATCCTGCTTAAACATTATAGAGGAAAGCTGGGATTGTAGTTTAAGGTACAAAGTCATTGCCTGTTTAAGGACAAGATTTGATATCTAATTGTGAACACTTATCTTTCTATCTGTCTAATTCATCTATAATTCGGTCTGTATGGATGTAATGCTTATGCAGGCTCTAGCACTCTTGCATACAACTCAAATCTGATGTCACCAGGAGATATATACATTACCAAAAGCTGCCTGAACCTCCTACAGTCACTGAAGTGTTTTGATGCGTTTGTGGGACCATACTCATTCACAGTGAAATGGAAGAGCACCAAACAGCACACTCAGAATGAGATGGAGGCTTCCCTGACACTTTGTAAACACACCACACAGACTAGAGATGGAGGGCGGCGGCGTCGCTTTGTGGAGAAAAGGGACACAAGGTGAGGAGAGAGGCGAGATAAAATGAGTGACCACAGAGGGAGGAGAGAGGAGGAGGGTGACAGTGGTGAAGGGATGGAGATAGCCACCTCTGCGGTGAGCTGCCAGCGGCTGCAGTAGGTTCCCGTTGGCGTCCAAGCCCTGCCCGTTACTCAGGTGGTCAGTGTTGCTTCCCTCCCCGTTACTCAGCCTCTCCAGGACCTCCAGGGAGGACAGGCGCTGAGGGATCAGAGGTCTGAGCTCAGGAGACAAAGTGCACGGCTTCTGGGTGCCCATTGTCGCTCTGGTAGCTAACACGGTCCTCCGAGTTTGGTGTGACTGCAGGTTCTTCCGTAACCTAAAAGGAGCAGGGCCCATGAGGAAGAGGTTCCCAGGCAGCGTGGTCTTCTTCTCTGGAGGCGGCAGCCTCTCCTGTTGGGTGGTGGCCTGCTGCCTCTCGTGCCTGAGGATGGTGGTGAAGCGGGTGTAGGAGGCTGGGCAGGAGCCTTTGCATTTGCTGGGTTTGAGGAGGAGTTGATGGTTCAGGTGATGCAGGAGGTGGTGGTGGTGGTGGTGGTTATGGTTGTGCTGCGGAGGGGATGCTGGGAGCAGTGCGGAGGGACTCTTTGATCCACAGACATTTCGGTGGATCAGTTCTGGGGAACGTTTACTGAAGATCTGCTCAATCTCATTCTCCGTGTTAGTGGGGGAGTCAGTCCCGACATTGTGTCCGTCCTCTGAGGAGGAAGCAGTGTCCTCCACAGTCACACTGCCCGGTGACAAGGCCTCCTCCTCACAACTCTTGCCCTCTGCCTCCACTGGGGAGCAGGCATCCGTCTGGGTGGCGTCGGCAACCAAAAGGGACTCCGCTGACACTGCAGACGCCATGTAGAGGTGGGCGTTGCTGTGGTTGGGGCTGTGGCTGTGGCTGGAGTGCAGGGTGGGCAGGGAGGAGGAGCGGCTGGGCGCCGGGGTGGACCGCTGAATGATCATTTCAAACTCACTGACCCGTGACGACACTGCATCCCGTGGAATGTTATCCCCGTCATCTCCCTCTGACCTTTCACCCCCGTCGGCCTTTGCCTTCTCAAAAAGAGAAGCCAGGCTGCGGACGCTGCCGTGGGGGCTGCAGCCGGCCGAGCTGGGCCGCTGTATGTGGTGCATGGTCTTGTACAGGCTGGAAAACTCAGATGCGCTCCTCCTAATTGCAGGGGAAACATTCCTGAGGCCGTCCGCACACTCCTTGCCACAGCTGGACTTAGAGTCAGAATGCTGCCCACTCTCCCTTTCCTCTGCTCCAGCAAAGTCTGTGTCACATGACCCCGTGTACAGCTCCTCACAGCTGTGAGCTTTTGGGTGCCTGACAGCTCTAGTCCTGCTTTCCTGACTGTCACCACTGGGCGGCAGCAGCTTGGGCTTGAATTTAGAGGGCAGTATTTGGGGAATGCAGGCTTTGGCAGCAGATAGAGGCTTCATACTCTTAAACTGGTTACCTATTGCATTACTGGCAAGAACCGATCGACTATTTACAGAGGAGCAGGGTGAAATTATATAGCCATTCCCACCTTTATAATCCACTGGCAAGCATGCAGGACAACAGAATAAACAACATATTAGATTACAATGGTCACAGGTTCACACACACTAAAACAGAGTCAGGCACATTTCTAAAGTAAAGACCAAGTTCCATCAAAAGTAGATGAGAAGAGGAAGCAGACTTGATGCATTGTGCATCAAGTAATAGATGACTGTTATACTAACAGCATGGTACTGCAGTGAAGAATTATGCATTGTAAAAATGGAACAAGGGGAAATTTACTGTCTAACATATTCTTGTATTATCATTATCACTGTAAACAGCAACATAACAAGTGAAACATAAAGTATTAAAACAGCAATATGCCATGAAATGTCATGTGATGTTGGAGGTCATATAGGAATTCTAAACACTGACTGCAGTATCAGTACAATTTAAAAAGAAAAAGAAAAACAACCTATTCAGACTTGCTCTGTTGCTTACTTTGTATTCAGATTAGGGCTAAACCTTTCTCCCACATGACTGCTGCCTGTCCCACTTTAACCTCCTACATATATTCTTCTCCACTACTTTTAGCAATTAGACAGACCACAGCAGTGATAAATGGCCTGTGGCACCGCCGTTAATACACTGCTCCTCCACACAGTTGTAAATAAAAAATGTATCCTGAGTCAACCTTCCCAGTAAATATGACTGTCAAAAAAAACCCTCTCCAGTTCTTGGCTCTCTTCATGCTATAGTATGCTCGTGACAGCACTACAGATGGAACCGGGAAATGACACAACACTTTCACATGCTGTGAGACACTTCTGTAGCATGAGTGACCCATCTGTCACATTCATATCTACCAGAAAAACACACACTGAGGAAGTAAACTAGATTGTATCCACAGCATGTGGAAAAGAAAAGATTTCTGGCCAATCAAAAGTCCTCAGGCTTAGTACTTTAAGACACAAAGATTGTTTTTTCATTGCAGGAGCACAAGACAGAAACACATGATGAAGTGTTTGGTTTCTAGCATTTGGTTGTTTCTTTGGGCAGGAGGCTAACGAAAGAACGTGCTAGTCATTTGACAGGAGTGCTAAAGCAATTTTTACTTCATGGTTCCACAATTCGGGGAAAAACTAAAACAAGTATCCTGATATATTTTTGCTCCAAGACTGAAATCTAATATCAAACTTTAACTCTGAGTGGACAGTGTCTGTTGTGTGTCTTCCCAGATGCAATGTAATGACACATATTGGGTCACACTGTCCCTTTCTCTCTTCCTTACATCTCCTCTCCTCCCCCAGCGCTTCTTTCCCCGGCCATGTGCGCAGGCATTCCAGCCCCTGACCTCACACTGACAGCTGACTTCCTCATGCCTACCCACCCTCTGTGTCCCTCCTGTTTATCTCACCCCTGTCTGGCCGGGGTTGTGAAGAGCAGAGCTCTGTTTATCTCCCTCGTCCCCTCCTCATCCATCCCCTCCCCGGCCCTCCGCTCCCTGGTGCTGGAACGCTCTGGAGTCTTGCCCTAAGCCTGCCTAGCGACTGGTGGCTCACAACTGGAGCAAGAGGGGGGAAAATCCCCAAGGTTAGCTTCCATCAACTTAGCAAGACAACCTCACTCCCTCCATGAGTTTTCCAAAGCAGATGGCCAGTACACGTTCGATGAAAACATCCATGGCAACAATAATAATAAATCAAAAGCTGCCGGGGGAATGAATGCTGCGAGGTGATTGGCCAATGCTGTGAGGTCTGGGAGCAAAGAAAATGTGTGGATTCCAACAGAAAGGTAAACGGAAACACATGTATCCCTGTCTGACACTTTGAACAGTCCAACATCAGAGTCTGTAACTCATTGGTTCTGTCTCAGCAGGAAAGGCCTTTAATGGCTGCACTGTCTAACCCCCACATCAATAAACATACACACACCTTCCATTTTACTGGCCACATATGTAAAGTGGCTGGTATCCTACCTTTAGAGGAGGAGGAGCTGCCTTGGCGCTTGTTTAGGGCCCGTAGACCTTGTAAGGGAATGTCGCCGCCCTCCAGGACACTCTTGTAAACATGGCGGTCGCATTCTGGAGCCCCAGGCTCGCTCGTGGATGATCCACCGTCCTTCTCCACCTCGCTGTGTCCAGACTTGCTCGAGGAGCTAGACGGCGGTGAAAGGAACGCAGACAGCTAATTAAACACAGTCGAATTCATTCAGAGGAGGTTGTGTTACATGTTTTTATGATAAACAGAGGCGCGCAAATTGGATAATGAGCTGTCATATGGTTCTTATTTAGTGTATCTTGAGGTAATTCCTGTCTTTGCAGACTTGTGGGAGACAAAATAATCAGAGACAGAAAAAGTGCAGAATTTGGAGGCTGATGTTGGGAGAAGGCATTGGCTACCACACATATCTTGGCATTCCAGAGAGGCCAACAGGGCAGATTTCTATAAATATTCTCTGAACATTCCCACATGGTGCATCAGCCATGCACCTGTACAACTCTCAGGTTTACTCTCTTTCACATGCAACTCATGTGTTACGCACGCTGCGACTCTATTTGTGCAGACAAACATGGTCATTAAACTATACAGAGACTCCAGTATCCTCTAGGTCAAAAAAAAAAGCACAACAACGTGCAAATCCTTCTGTTGGGAGGATTGCATTTTCCAAAATGTGTTTAACATCTGCAAGAGTTTTACAAGCTTGCACAAACGTATGGATACATTACTCTGCTTGTTCACTACCTCAACAAGAAGCTCTTTCATAGCTGTTAGAAAAACACATGTGTGCGCTGCTGACGCAAGAGAGCCATTAAAATCATGTTGGTTCTAGGTTACTTACAAGAATTCACATAAATGCAGGAATACAGGAAATGTGCAGCACAGGAGCAATGAGAGATTTAATACAATGTCTGTTAGGAAGGTTCTGGTGAAATCAGCAGTCAGTGTGCTGCCTGAGAGAGAGAGAGCCAGTGACAGTACCTACTGCAGACTGACTGCAATGTCTATCTGTTTACCTGGAATGAGGAGGAGGTCCTTTATGCCTATTATAAGTATGCACATGTACTACTGCATCACAGTGACAGCTCTTAATGTGAAGCCATACAAACAATTTCTGATTAATTTATAGCAATTAATTCATATATTTTAGCTGTCTAGCATATTTCTAGGATAAGAACCATCATGCACTCGCACTGGCTGTCTAATCGAGATCTTAATTCCCTCAGACGCTCATTCATTCATATCATTTTACAAGAGTGATCTTTAAAACGTCTCTGATTTCAAACAGTCCCCAAAGATAAAAAAAAACATCCTGCCCTAAACACATGTGCCTCTGAGGGAAGTCGGTTTATGACTTGAGGTTTCCTTTGAAAACCTCGGGTCAGGGAACTTCCACCACCTCATCACCAGAAACCTCTTCCTTTCAAAATTAGCTACGAATCAGTGGATTAAAAAATTGGATTGGGAATCTCTTTCTCTTGGCCGTGATGACATAATGGTTGTAGCAGATGGAAAAGTTTGTCACAGAATAGGAGGGAGAAGTTTATTTTCCCTGGATTGTAGCGCGAGACATTCTCAGTCCTAAATTCCTCAAATTTTATTACACAAACAAAAATAGAAGATGTCAATCTCGTCAAACAAAAACAAAAAAGATCAAGGGCTCGCTAGGCTTTGCTTTAATAACAGTTCGCATCCTCTTTCATACGCTGGTCACAGTTCTGCACACACACCCATTCAGAAGGAGATAACGGTTTTCAAGTTATGCAGCAGCTGAGCGAGTTCCCTCTATCCCAGTGACATCCAGGTTGCTGTCTTTAAATAAATCACCACATAGCAGCCATGTCTCCACACTACGACCACCCACCCCCCCTAAAAAACACCATGAAACACAGACAGAGGACACACTGTTCTGGTAGCTTTTCGCCTTATTAACAGGATCTCCTCAGGAAGCAGGAGTCCCCCTGCAGTAGGCGGGCGAGCTCTACAGGGTGGAGAAATCTCTCACTGACATTAATCTCCATAACATGCCTTAAATTATCATCAAGATACTGGAGGGAGGAAGCAAGATTTAAAGCACAAGTATTCGAATGAGAAGGAGGCATGGACTTACTACTGCTGCAGGTCGGAGGCTGTTTCCAGGGGGCTGAAAGAGGGGGCACTCTGCAACAAACCAAACAAAGAAGTCATTGATAGATCCACAGGAAGGTCTCCTCCAGCTAGAACAGAGGCAGGAGCATTAGCTATGGCCAGATTCTCTCTTCTTTTGCTCTGTGTTGCTCTCTCGCTGGTCTGGGTTTTTGTCTCGAGCAGCCGGGGTTCTTAGCTTCTCTGGACTGGGCTTGGCATGGAGGAGTAAGCGTGTGTTTTGGCCTGCATGCAAGTTGGAGAAAACAAGCGGCAGTGAGGAGAGTGGAGGTGGG